GTAGAAGAACCAAATACTTTTATTTCTACAAAGGAAGACAGAATTAATCTTCCTAAACTATTCAGTTCAATTTCAATTCAATTTAGTCTTGTATAGCCCTAAATCACAGCAGTAGTTATCTCAGAGGACTTTTCAAAACCATTGAATTCGCCAACTCAAATAATGGAGAACACAAAGGCATTGGTCCATAGAAGGGAGTTGACCAATGTCCATAAATGTTGATAAATGTCCATAAATGTTGTTGAATGTTGAGTGTCCTGGATCCTCACCACTATGGACTAAACCATGACAAAAACAGTGGAACCCTGTGTGCGCCATGGCAACACTTCCTGGTCATATTAGTCTCAGTACTTTTCCACTGACGGCCTGACTCACTGCTGCACTGTTGAACCCACGTACCCCTTCCTTCAGCCTGCTAACCAAACACCATCCAGCCATTCAGCCGGCTCATGCACGCTCCACATCACGGCATACGTCGCACGGAGCGGCCTGCTGTTATGTTCTTTTCATCAACAAGTGCCAGGACATAAGTGCTCCATTGGCTGACAAACTCCTGCAGAGCTGGAGCGGGGCCTAAACAACTTACTGTGATTTTACAGATGGCGTTTCCAATGACTTCACACCATACCATAATATACACAATGGCGTCGAGTGATTCTATACGGGGTGAATTGTTTGGAGATGGATTATGTGTATTGTTCATCATTCCATGTGGTCAGAAGTGAATTTTTGTTGTTATGCAGGAAATTGTAATTGTAAAGAGTGGTTTCGACTCAGTTTGGTTCTGTGTGGCAGCAATGGTGGTTTGGAAGGGCGTCACAGAATTGTCGATTTGCCAACAGAAAAAAAACAAATACAACATTCACACAATTGGATCACATATAGCCTGGCCTTCGCCATCCGTACACTCCGCTCAATTATCATTTCCCTGCATGTAACGTCTGGGTCTGGTCCCCATGTTAGCGATAACAAACTGTTGAATTTCAACCGACCAATCAGCGAGCGCGTGAGGTGGGTGCTGTAGTTAGATGTGGGTGACATCAAGTGTTTGCGCCGAACTGGCAGGTTGTAGTTTGGCAATGGCATAGAATGCGATAGTAAAGTATTCTGGTCTGGTTCTATCAAGAAATTGAAGCCGGAGCAAGAGGAATGTTTAGCAAATGTAATTACTGGCAAAGATTGTGGCGCTACTCCCCACAGGCTCAGTTAGCGGCAAAGAAGATGGCGAGGCTAAATGCTAACGACTCAAAAAAGGAGTTCTGCAAAAGGAGTTAACCCCTCCCACCTGTTAACGGAGCTCAATGGAGCACCTCCAGAGCATAGTACGAAATGTAATTTGTTCTATAGTATAGTACGACCAGGCTAGAAGCTGGGACATTCGTCCCCCAAGCCCGACGGCACGTGCCCAGACACTGATAAAACAGTGTGTGTGTGTTAGTCTGTATTCCTGGTTCCTGTGTTGGATTTTTGAGTTTGGTTTTTCCTTGGACTTTTCTTTATTCATCATTAAATCATCTTTTTTTTTTGCCTTCTTGCATTTTTGACCCTACCTTCCTCTCACCACATGACAATTCCCATTTTTCATCTCATTAAAGTCATTTTTTCCACACAAACAAGCTTCCAAACCTCTTAAACAAGACGTAAACATTGCCCATCTATAACAACGCACTGCCTGGGACGACCACACTTTCACATTAGACTTATGTTTATGCTTTACGGCTCTCACCTAAACACAGTCTTTGAGCTCGCCACACACCGGGCTGGCACCAGAGGAATGCCATGTACCAAACACGTCCCAACCATCCATCCCACACGGACCAAACAGAGCACAAATCTCATCACAACACCTAATTTCACCCGTTTGTTTAGACAGGAAGTGTTGCTTTAAAATACCGTTTGTCTCCATGGAAAGCAGCACTTAGTGGCGTCGTGCACCGCGGTTTCTCCTTCGGGCTGAGTTGGTCTGTGCTGGAAAAGTGTTGTTATCCATGATACAAAGGCGTTTCACACACTTTTTTTTATCATGGAAGGGACTCGACAACTGTTATGTGAAAGCAAAATTATACATGATTTTGTTATTATAAAAAACAAGTAATGATACAGCATAAGTAAATACTAGGTGGGATCGTAGATTTCTTCTAAGATTGCCCTGTGTTTTGGCTCCATCCACCTTTCAGTCAAGTCTCGCACTCTTCCTGGTCTCTGGGGAAATAAACAGTCCCACAGCACGACGCTGCCACCCCCATATTTGACACTGGAAATGGTGCACGGAGGGTGATGAGCCGTGTCAGTTTGGAGCCATATAAAGAAGATTGTATGTTTTGTTATTATGTTGGGGCTCAGTTAGTTGAGCTTTGGCCTTTGAGCCTGCAGTCATGGGTTCGAGCCCACTACTAGACCTTCTCCACTGACTCCCACAGATGTCTGCTGTCGTTGTGTCCTTGGGCAAGACATTTAACCCCACTTTGCCCGAAGCCCCTGCTGAAAGACCAAGGCTTTGCTCTCACCAACAAAGCAGCCATCCTACTGTAGACTCACCACCTGCAGGAGGACCAGTGAGGGGCTGGTGCTCTGTGGGATAATTATTATTTAGTATAGACTTTAAACTTCCATATTTAGCCAGGACAGTCCCGGTTTTCAGGATGAATTCCTTGATTTCCCTGCAGTCTTATCCAAATACATTGATTTGTACTGTTTTTTCACACAAGTCCCAGTTTTTCTTGGTTTATGACTGACTTCATGTCCAGCAAAAATACGCAATGATATGTAAGGTAATTCATTGATCCAAACAAAATAAAATATAACCACATTTGTTCAGAATGAATGATTAGCATAAACACGTATAAAAGGGATTAAAAATGAATGCATTGGGGAGGAGGTTGCACATTTTGGGGTGCATCTGAAAAAGATTTGCTTCTGTCCTAAAGCTTTTTCAACCTGTACATTTTACCCAAAGTGCACCCAAAGCGTCTTCCCTCTCCCTCCATATTTGGGCCATTCCTCTCGTCCGTATGAAGTCTGATCTTTGTGAAGCTGCCGGTTTACTAATGTCCTGCATGCCTGGCCCAGATCAATGTCACCTTTCACAAACTTTTGGGCACAAGGCAGACGGGGAAGTGATGTCTACAAAGAAGCCTTTGAGGTGCAGCCGTATACCCCCAGTGCTGACCTAAATGTGCACATTCCCTCCCCTCTCTCCCCCCTCTCCCCCCTCTCCCCCTCCTCTCTCTCCCCCATCCCTGGATCCAGCACAGACATTCTACCTCCTGTGGACGTGCACATATGCAGAGAGCTCTGAGTCACCATGGAGGAGATCTGATAAGATTGAGAGGATGGACATGTTTTCAGATTTTCTCCAGTCCATAAATCGTCTTTACGGCATCGTAACTATTATTGCAGACTTTCTAGTATTTGGATTATACAAAAGCAGCATTTATTACACCATAGCGCTACAGTAATACATCTGGTGCCATCTTTTTTTTGTCTTGATTCCATGTTATGACTCCTGTAAGACAAGTAATTCCATACTTGGAATGAGATTTAAACGTTGTTTCAAAAGTTTATCTTCATCAAATGTAAAAACGTCAAAACAGCTCACTTATTGGAATGTTTTAAGTTTTGTCTGAACACTCACTTTTACTCTCTGGCTTTTAATATTGCGTGACTTGTGTGGTCTCTTGTATTTATTACTTGTATATAGGATTTTACAATTGGTGGTTTATTGTTGTTGTATATTTTAATTCACGTTAACGTTGTCTTGTCTTACTTCTATTTCTTCATATAAGCTGACAGAATTGTATTATTATCATTTTGTTTTGTGTCTGTGCACCACTTTAGAAACTTGTTTTTAAAATGTGCTATAAATGTGGATTGGATAAATCCATACATTATAAATTCCCCTAAATAATGTGTTAGTGTTTTCTTTTCTTAAAAAGCAATATGGTTTAATTAATCTGCTTTTGGCATGATGTCAATAATATCCACTGAAGAAAATCAAATTAAATGTAACAAATACTAGTTTCATACTGACTTTCTCTTACAGAGGTCAATGAAGTTTCTATCTAAATATTCAAAGTTGTTAGTGACGGCCATGACTGTTGAAAGAAAGCCCTGAGTCACTCCTGAGCCATCAAAGCAGAGATCCGTGGGTCTCGTCATCAGCCCCCTCCCCATCAGCCCCCCTCCCCTGTACATGCTCTGTACATGTTTGCTCTGGGACCCAGGGGTAAAGTCAGTACATTCACACTCCCAGTACATCATCAGTAGAGGCTCCGTCCCCTCCACTGCCCCAGAAAGAGAGTCCTGCATGTTCTGCTGCTCCTCAGAGACGTGAGTGATTTCTTCCAGGCACAAACCATAAGTCAAATGCACTTTTATGCTTTTGTTTTATTTCAAAAATAAGTTAAACAATTTATCTGGTGCATCTCAAAATCCATTCACACGGGTCCAAGAAAAACATGGCTGAAGAACTTTAGCAGAAAGTGTGAGCATATGGATGTTGTATTTGATCAAACAAAACTGATTCAACTGTGGGAAAATACAAAGGCTATTCTCACACTCTCACAAATCATATGTGGGTTTCAGCAATAAAACTCTGCGTAAAGTCCAGCGATAGCTTGGAGGCAGTGTCACAGAGGCAGCACCAGGAGCAGATTACAGTACAAAAGGTTCAGTGACATTTTCCTGAACATTGGAGATACACAAAGTCCACGTGTGCGAGCGACAGTGAGCCTGGCTGCAGGAGCTGTTCAAACCAGTGTGTTTGCAGACACAAAGCATTCCCAATAATAAATAACTCCATTTTCTTTTCTTTGCTTCACTACAACCTGTTTTTTGTGTATCTTTTTTGTGAATGTTGTCACTTCCCTTTTTTAAGGTTTCACTCTGTTTGACAGAGATTTTATATCCTTTTTCATTCTTTTAAAGCATTTGCTTTAAAAAGTTAAAACAAAACATCCAAGCAAACTCAAACAACAATTAAAAACAGTAAAAAGACTAGCTCATGGGTCAATGAAGGACACAGCGATGTAGCGCGTGCCGTTGGTGGTGGGCAAGCCTTCGTGCAGGTGGGTCAGGCGTCCTGGGTGCATGAAGGTCCAGCCTTTCCTCGGAGACTCGATGGAGCAGTTGTATCTATGGAAACGGCAGCCTCCACCCTGAAACACAACATGATCACAATCAGTTTTAGGGCATGTTTACACTTGTTCCTCTGGTTCATTTTAACTGGACCAATTCTGATTCACTTTGGGCAAGAATTTACCACCACCAAACAAGTGTCCACACGTCACCTCAGATAACACCATTTTACATAGATCTCTCGATTGGTCCAGTTTCCCTTGAAAAATCAGAAAAGTGATCTTATCCCGTACCAGGAAGTCAGTGTTCTTGTTGTTGAGCGCGACGTTGATGGTGAAGGTGGAGGAGTCGTGGTGCGGCCGCAGGTACGACTGTCTCTCTGGAGTGTACTTCACCACAAAGTTCATCACTGCATACCCCTGCACACACCACACAGTCACAATCAGCCACTATCTGCACATAACAGCATAGACTTTTGCTTCCGGATTAGTACCTTAGTATAGTATCCGGAGAACACCTTCAGCGTCACCGGTGAAATGAACTCTCGGAGGAAATGCAGCCACTCTTTTTCATAACCGATCTGCTTCATGTGGATATCGTCCGTGGGTACTGTCTCGTAGCCTCCAGCGATCCGTTTGTCCTGAGAAGACACCGGCGTAAACAATGGAACAAACGACCCGCCGCCGCCTCCTCCGAGTGAGAGAGTTTTGTGAGTAACACTGGTGACTCTGGTGACTATTAACCACAGGGTGTGCGTTCGTCTGCAGCTCAGGCCTAATGAGCCATTCAGCTGAGCCTTTTCCCAAACACACCCATTCATCTTTCCAGGCAAACTTTGTGACATGCTAATTACCACTTTCTAACAACATAAAACAGGTTACAAGGCTTAGACTTTAAACACAAGATTATATTGCCACATTTAACCTCACTTTAAGGTTTTCACTTCACAAAAATCCATCTTATAGGGCTACGTCCAGTCTTTCAACGGCAGCAAAAAGTATATTACAGTCTATGTATTTTTACTATCAAGGTAAAAAGGTTTGCTGCTGTGATTAGCCGAAGGTCGCTCCTTTTCCTTAACAATTTGAACCCTAATATTACAGTCGGACCTCATTATCGTGGGCTTTTTCAGTGAAAATTAGCACCGTAGAATATAATGAGAAATTTGAAGAAAGATAATGCATTGTATAATTGAATTTACATCCATTAGATTCAGTACAGTTTGAGAGAGAAGGTTAATTTTAGGTGTAATGATAATGTCTCTTCCCAAAATGAGTTTCTATATCAACTTCATCTCCAGGCACTTTCACACTGCAGACCTGTGTCGACCCCAGACAACAGTGGGAAAGCTTGGTGTGTATGGATCCAAATTATGGACTGAGTTGTTATCCACATGGAGCAATGTAAGCATTTTCAAACACATTTTTAGAAGGACAATTTAATAAAGAGCAGCCCAAATGTGTATGCTAAGACTCTTGCGGCTTGTTATGCTAAGTGCTAAGTATTGCCACTTCTTCACCTGAACCACAAGTAATCAACGGGCTATACAACACTGGGGTTGTATTCCATCTAATTTACTGCTATATTTGGTGCAGGTAATCCCACTGAATATACCTTAGCAAAAAGTCGGTTAAATACCAAGTTGTTCTGACACACTAGCCGTGTCGCTCATTCTGCAAGGAAGAGGCAAGCCAAGATTTTAGAGCAAAAATAAACTTTATGTTTATGTTAATTGCCTTAGTACTACTTATTACTGAGCTTTACTACATGGGAGGTAGCGTTCCATATTTATGCAGCTAAAATCTGATTCAAATTGAATTCAAATTGAAATAACATGTGTCTCTAAGCTCTCTCAGATTGCATCGTGGCGTGTGTGTGTTCTTGCTCTGTCCGCTGCTGACCTCATGACTGCCCCCGGACCATGACCCATAGTGCTCCATCTCCTCCACCAGCTCGTCACAGAACGTCTCGGAGAAGACGGGGAACCAGAACACATCCGGACACGGCTAAACACACACACACACACAATCACCAACACAAAGTCAAAATTCAAATACCTGTAAAAACGCAACATGTCACCCCCTGTTTATGGTCTGAAGAAGCTCACCTCTTCCATTGAGTTGTGTGTGAAGATCTGTGAGTAGTTCTGGTGGATGTACTTCTCCTTCCAGTCCTGTGAACATTAGATACTTTGTTAGTAAATGCTCTTATCGTCCAGAGTCTAGACTGTTCTCTGACCTGCATACCTTACATTGTTAATCTCACCTCAAATACCAAGCGGTTCAAGTACAGGCCACAATCCCGACACTTTTGTTTTATCAACAAGCAGAGGTCGGTCTATATTAAGAGTTTTTACTTTGCTTGTTATCCCCCAGTTTAGCCATTTGAATTTCCCATTTTGCTTTGGTTGCGTTCACAATTCAGTATATTTATCAAAGCATAAGAACACTGAGTACATTGAAAAAACAAGTATTCTATTCAAATTTACTTTAAAACCAGTTAGACAACCCTTTAGGCCTGTCTGCGTACACGCCACTGAGCACAGGGGCCTTGTGATGCTTTCAAATGCATCTCGTAACTTTGCCGTAGCACAAACGTTGAAACAGTGATTGAAAATGAAATTGCTTGCAGGTTGTATATTCACACTTTTGGCGAATGTAATCACGTAATATTTTTAAGTTGGGTCTTGGATTTTCACACAGGCTCAACTTTTAACAGAGAAAGTCATTTAATTTCCACAACGGCATCAAACGCACGTAACAAAACCAGAGAGGGACTGAGTGAGTGGGTAGCGGATACGGATTCTAAATACGCACATTTCTAATATATACAGGTGAAATTCGGAAAAGAGACAGCGATAGTCTTGTTCAGTCAAATTAAATTAGAGTCGGTGAAGGATCCGGTTTTTCACACGTGCTTTGTAAATATACTCCCTGCAAAATATGGCAGAAAGTGACTTTTTTAAATTAGTTTTACAGCCCCTAAATCGTGTTATTGCTTTCATTTTGATGTCCCGCCTTCCACCATTTTACCCATCAGCAAGGCTGTGATTTGGGTTGCCAGAAATCTCCGCGTCAAGCTAATCTCACTGGTAAAGTAACAAGTGGCCACAGAAAGAAAAAAAAATCTCGTTATGATTCACAAATCATTATTGACAAAAACAAGGAATAAAACGAGGATTTCCATCGGGACATTTGTGGAAAGGGTGTTGGTTATAGATTTGTTGTTGACAAAACACTTCTATCCAGTTATTATGGTCCCGGCTGGATTCGTTTGCATATCTGGCAACCTGAGTCAGGGAGAGTGGGAGAGGTTGCAGTACCACTTTTGGCCAGATTTCTACATACTGCTCCTTTAAAGTAGTACTAGAATTTAATATGCTGAAGAATTGAATTTAATTGAATATCCAGAATATATAACTACAATATGTGTTTAGAATATTTCGGGTGTTCATTTTGACATGTTCAGATGAATTATGTTAAAAAAACGGCTTTGAAGTGGCACCTTTTCACTTCCGCATAGAAACGCTAGGGAGCGCCAAAATGGGGGCGATGACGTAGGAGAAGGGTATCTCACAGCAGCAGCAGCAGTCTTAGCTGGAAACTGTTGGAGGTTTAGGGTCATCTGAACAAGGTATAAACATATTTTCATCCGTTTTGTACATAATAGTGTGCAACTCTTTTAACCTTTTAGCCTTATTTGTGAGATTCAAGCTAATTAGTGTTGGGCAAGTTAGCTAACTCTACTTGATATCATAAAACATGCTAACAAGGCTAATATTCGTTTTTACATTATGCCAGTCTCACTTTGGTTGCCTTAGATTTATTTACCACAATGTACATTGTAATATTCAAAAATGCTAACACCTATTAACGGTTTAATTAGCATTTTTATCAATGATTGCATCACATGTAGTCTATGTTTTCAACTTCTGCAGCTTTTTGTTCATAAAAGTAAAATATTTATTTAATTCAAGTTATTTTGATTAGCATTTATGGATGCTGTGAGATGGCCTTCCTCTACGTCATCGCCGCCATTTTGGCTCCCCCTAGCGTTTTTTAAAGGTGCCACTTCGAAGCCGTTTTTTTTACATAATTCATCTGAGCATGTCAAAATGAACACATGAAATATTATAAACACATATTGTAGTTATATATTCTGGATAGCAGCATATTAAATTCTAGTACTACTTTAAATGCACACCCAATCACAAAACATGTTGAAGATTGTATCTAGAGAAATACAACTTTTTGACAATATTTTTTTTTCAAAACAGAGATATCTATTCTTTGGACATCAAAGAATTAACTTTTCGCCCACCTCATCGCTAATCTTTTATTTTGCCCTCAGTCCTTTCATTACAGCCATTAGCGCTTCTTACCTCCGCTCATTTCGCACAAGAATAATCTGTTCTTTATTTCACAACGGAGCAGAATAATGCCATGCCATAATGACTTACCACTGGGTTTTCAAATATCTGCCACAAGTCGCTGTTATAATGAGAAACGTTATAATTGGCGGTGGAAATTAGTCTCCCGAATTCGTGGCGGTTCGTTATGTACATGAAGACTCCCTGCGGCAAACAAGGAGAGAAAAAAAAAACAGATCAGTGAGCTTCGTGCAGAGTTTGACATTACAAAGCAGAAATCTTAATGGATCCATATTTACACACAATTTGAGCGTGAACACCTAATGCTCGGCAGGTCCTCATTACGAGACTGTAAACTGGTTAAAGAATTCAATTATAGCTTGAATTCTACTGGCTACAACATGTTTAATTGCAGAAAGGTTGTTTGTCGCAATCAAAAATCTTGATTGGTGGATAAAACCAACAGAGGAGCCAGATAAATAATCCTGGATTATTTATGGGTGCTGCAGGGGGTTGTGGGCTGGGAGTCAGACAAGATCACAGGAGAAGGGAAAGGACACGTTTTGGGTCAAAGAAAATCAAGGAATTCTACTTTGGTCAGAGAGAAGAACGAGGAGGAGAGCTCTACGTTTGGACTCACTGTCAGACTAGGCTTTCTACAGGCTGTCAAATATGAGGCAGGAACAGGATTACCAAATTAAATCTATGAAAAAACAAATCTATAATAGGTGAATGCTCCAGCCTAGTCTGAGATCAGTCTTTGAGTGGAGTGGGCTACAGCAGTGGTTCTCAACTGGTGGTTCAAGTCCCCAAAGTGGGTCGTGGGATAATTTTAGGCTTTTCAAAAGGGCTTTCCTGGGAAATATATCTTAAATACTACAGTGTTTATAGTTAAAATAAGAAAGAAGAGCAAGTAAAGCACGTAAAACTCGCCCCATTGCAGGTATTTGCAAGTAATCAATTAAATAGATCCGTATGAAATAATTTCCCGTCACATAAAAAACATACTTTAGCTTTGATGATGGGTTCTGACAACGTTCCAGTTGAGAAGCACTGAGCTACAGTTTGTGATGATAATAAAGTAAAGCATCAGGACAGGGGACTTGCAAATGAACTTTTCTCCTCCTTTTAAACCAAAACAACAGCTGTTTTCTACCACTTCGACACTTCGACTTGTACTAATTGAGGAAATGTTGCCAGGCATTCCTTGTAGTAATACAATCTTGACATTTCACATAAAAATCTGACAATTTTACAACATTATATTTGGATTGGCTTTTGTGTTTACAGCATGCACATAAAACACTACACTATGAAATGTGTGCCATGAGCTAAGCCGCTGGGCGTGTTGCTATAGAAGAGTCAAAACAAATGGGAACCTTCGGGCTCCTGAGCATATGGAATGATTCCGGAGAGGGGGAGTCTTTTTCTCTGTGACTGGTCTAAAATAAAGGAGAAGCATTATGTCACAATAACATAAATACTTTGAAACACATTGCTCACATACAGAAATGATGCTAAAATGTCGGTGAAAGAGCAAGGGTCCCTCTGAAGCTGATGCCTTCGTGAGTTAGTGAGGCGTGTGCAAGGCATGCTGGGAGAAGCAGGCGGATAGATGAAAGGTATGGACTTGGTTAAGGTGAATTAAAGCTGGGGTACCTTTTTCTATATGTATGTAACTTATAAAATCCATGTAACTAGTTCATCGCTCACAAAAAAAGTTTGGTTGAATATTTTTCATGGATTTTTAGCCTCTGTCACATCTTTTGATCAGATTTTTCAGACAGAAAAGTGGAAGAGAGAGGACCACCCTCACTCATCCAATCAGCTCTCAGCCAAAATATTCCAAAAGCAATTATGCATGTGTTGTGGTCTGATTTTTTCGCAATATTTCACTTTTACAAAACTGTCTTCTGGGATAAACAACATGGATGGAACATCATTAAACAATAAAGTTAGGTACCACAGCTTTTAAGTTAGGAACCCAAGTTGTTTGAGTCAGTTTTGACAGCCAGGTATCGCAGCCGCTGTCCGGGGTCACATCGCTCATATATGAAAGGTAAAGAGTGATGGATGTAGAGGATGAAGCTTCAAAAGCACCTTCCAAAGACACAGGACAGTCATGCCTCAGTGACAGCTCAAACACAGTCACTGAACTCACCAGTGCCATGTCTGCAGACTACAGTCAACATTCAGAAGCGTCAGACTCAAAACTGAAGATCCCACAAATATCATGAATGTTAGGGCTGCACGATTTTGACAGGATATGTAATTCCGACATTTCTGACCACCATTGCGTTTGCGATATCTAATATACAATAACTCAAGAAGGTGTGTCTAAACCTCTCAGTAAGAAGGCCACGCAACAGCAAGGATTGTAAAACTGTTTTGACTGGATCAGGGCTGTTCTGAGCTTTAAAACAGATTTTTAAAGCTACGTTAGTGAATTTAGTATCAAAAAACAAAGGTCACTAAATAAAAACAAAGTTAACGGCCGGATTCCAAAGATTCTGAACTTTACAAAGAGTGTGACTATATTGGTGGAGCTGAAGTTGGCTGGATGACACATACAACTCAATGGCTACTTCTTAAAAATAAGTCTAGAATGAATATTAATGCTTAGAATATGTAGATTTAACCTTTTCTCACGCTTTTCTTTCAAATTCTTGTAGTCAGACCAGTGTTGTTGCGCAACACATTTTGACAGTTTATACAAATGTTGAAACTTGGAATGAGAAAATAATACTTCTGCCAAACAACAAAACAAAAGATACTTGTTTCGTTGATAAATCTATGAAATATACTCAAATCAAGATACATTTCAAGTGACTGTTTGCTCATTCCTAGTCCTGTCTATGTTTGCAGCGGAACTTACTCATAATTTCTGTCTTTGCGATTTTAATTCAATTGCGACGAATCGTGCAGCCCCAATATTGTACCTGAACTTGGATTGCACTTTGACACAAAACCACGGCGGTTCTCTCTCTCACCAGCTCTCTGGCATTTCTGCAGAAAGCCATGTCCGGGTCCAGTTTCTCTAAAACAAAATGGTTCCTCTCTTTCAGCTCATTCCTCAGTGCGGTGCCCTGGATGAGGTAGACGTGCGCCATAAAAGGAATGTTCCACACGCCCCTAGAAACAACAAGTGCAGAAGCTCATTTTAAAGTGGCATTCCTGTGAGGATGTGGCTCTTCGTGTTTAGTCTGTAACATGGGATCAGTGTGCTGTAGGTGCAGAAGAAGGCCACCAGCGACTCTGCCTACTCCCGTGTCTCGCATATCACCAGAATGATTGACAATTAGTTTAGGACCTATAGTTTAGATGATCCACCCGGAAGTAGAAAATTATCCCATATACCTTTAAAATCTCTTATTACTGTATATTAACCTCAACTGCCCCAAATCAATGGTTGTGGATGGAAAAAAAATGATGGATTTGGCTCTAAATTTACAAATATCTTTAAAAGTTTGCTGTTTTAGCCCTTGATATTTCTGTATTTTGGTGTCACTCCTTGTTAATTTGTTAAATCAGTCGACAAAACTCTGCCTAATTTCCTTTCTATCCCGTTCTGTTTCAATCTAAAGCATGTCTACTCTCAAGTTAGCATGTCAAGTGCACTAACCTTTCAACTAAAAGCCCTGTTTCCACCAGCCCTACTTGACCGTACTCTACTAAACTTGGCTCTACTCTATCTCGATTGGGAGCGTTTCCACCGGCCCTGATTAACCGGTACCTGATGTTGTTCTAGTACCTGCTTGGCCCTGGTTCTATCCAGGCCAAGCATCATAAAAAATCTACTTTTAACAAACTATTACAACTAGACCTAGAGTTGTTTTTCCATTCATACTCATTTAATTCACTCTCTTTGGCTCTTCTGTCTATAAGCTCCTGTCTCTGTCCTGTAACAGTATGATGTTGTTGTTTCGCTCTGACTTCACGCTCAGAGCCGTTTTCTGCAATTTATAAAAAAAGTAGTGCTTATAAAATAGTTTTAGTAATATCTCAGGTGAAATGATGTTCTTTATAATCACATGGCAGTGTTTGCAGCTGGTAAATAGTCTAATAATCATGTATAATGGCCAACAATAACGCAGAGTATTTCTCCTTTAATCCTGATGTGATGGGACTATGCTGCCATCGTTATGAAAGATGGAATGCTTCATGTATTTAAATGCGGCAGTAACTCTCTGAGCGTGATGCTTGACTTGGGCCTAATGCGGCGGCCTCCTGTCATCTCTCCTGTTCGCTCGGACTGCAGCCAGAGCTCTGTGCTATTCTCAAACTCCCTTTAGACCCCAGGACCGGCCACAGGTTCATGGGATATTAAACTTCTGCTGTGGTCAGTCACTGTATATTATTTGACTCTACTCGGCTCATTTCACATTATTTTTAAAATATAAAAATGTTTAGGTTAAACCCATGGCTTCTTCCTTGCTTTGATTCTTTTTTGGGACATGGCAGATTATATATTTTCACTACTCAAAATACGTCCCCTTTGTGCACCGATGATATGGCTCATTCACAATGAGGAGACACTACTGTATGTGGTGTACTCTACACGGTTATGTCAAGTACTAGAAGCAGTCTGCACTGCAAATCATTTATACTATTACTGTAAGATCATGCTGACTATTGCAAGCATTTCACTAGTGGGGGACATTCTGTACATGATCTCATCGCATGTTCATTTCATAATATAGCGAGTGATTGACATGCTTGCTTTGTTGTTGTTGTGCAGAGTGCTCCTTAAACTTGTTCTAGAGAAAAGCTAACACTTAAATAGTGGAAAATTACATGACAATTGTTTTAGGATTCTATTGTCAAATCCTTTCACATGTTTTTCAACGTATAGGAGCATCCCACAACTGGTCCGACACATTCTTCTTGTTATAAATGTATATCTTTTGAAATGTTGCTCAGTTTTATGCAATGCTATACAATTGCAGTGGCGACAGTGGCTCAGTTGGTAGAGCATTGGCCTGGGAGCCTGAAGGTCGTGGGTTCGAGCCCACCACAAGACCTACTTCACGACTCCCACTGATGACTGCTGTTGTTGTGTCCTTGGGCAAGACACTTAACCCCACTTTGCCTGAAGCCCCCGCTGAATAACCAAGGCCCCTGTGGACTCACCACCTGCAGGAGGATCAGTGAGGGGCTGGTGCTCTGTGTACTGGGTGCAGCTCTGACTGCCACCCCCCCGACCCAGAAATGGATTAAGGGGAAGAAGATGGATCGATGGCTGTACAATTGCAGTACAGTGGTCTACTATGCAGGATTTTAATGCTTAAACAAAACTTTTAACATAGAGTAAGAAGCCTTGCCTCTCTCGATATAACTTGTAACTTAGCCTAGTGAAGACACAGTCTAGTTTCCAATTTTAAATGTATTGCCAAACTGTATAATTCATTTTAGATAAGTATACATACTGTGTTCCTGTATAAATATCTAGACAGCCCATTTCTATTAGTCTAGGCAAGTACTGTGTAGGCAAGTTTATTTCTCGGCCTACCCCTTACTGTGGACCATGTATCCAGTTGGACAACACTGATTTCAAGGAAAAGCAAAAACACAACTTTAACTGTAAGAAAAATGATGCAGTCCACCTTAAAGTACATTCTACAAAACTCTCAGTGTAAGAATGTTCCAGTGCTATTCCCACAGTGATTTAATGCTTACATGCAGATCAGCCGAGCGTGACCAATGCACAGCTCTTTCTGCACAGCGCTGAGGTGAGTGCGGTGCGTTTCTACTTACACTCTTTTTCTTTGCACGATGTCGACATAATCTTCGGAGCGAGCGTAATAACCGTCCAGGCTCAGGGCTCCCCAGAAGTTGGACCACAGTTTGCCATGACGAGTGACAAGGGGCCCAATTATTTTCCTGGAGAGAGGCGGAAGGCAGAGATGGAGAGATGGTACTTCTGTCAGACAAGATGAACCTCAACTAGATCTCGTGAAACGGATTTGTGTCATGGAAACCTCTTAAGAGACAGTGTAGTGTTTGGCTGATTGTCCAAATAAAGCTACGAATCATTCTGGACCAAAAAACTTGAGTCTGGAATGTGTTCATTTAATTTGCATCCAGTGTAAACATAAAATCACAGAAGGCTGATTTCAGATTTTCATAAATTCGCCAAATGCCAGGCTGCCAATCAGATTTGTCCAAAATGTCGCTTCCATATGTGACTGAAGCATAAAACCTAAAAAGTCTATTATAGATCTCTATAAAAGTGTTTGGTCTTCTGTTAAAGCTGGGGTACCTAACTTGCTGCTGCTGACTTCAACAAAGCCAATCTGAACATAAGCTGGCTGGAGCCCATTTCCTTATATGGGCATTTCCTCATGTGCTGTTCGCTTCAGGCTGTAACATGGGCAGATCTTATGCAAAGAAGGTTCACAATAAGCTGGAGATTCCTCTGCAAATGAAGGCATGATTTAAGATAAGAAAAGATATTCCTTGATTCGTCTCACAGTGGAGAAATTTCAGTAATGGAAACCTTGTCAATCTTATATGGCTCGTATCTGGATATACAAAAATATAGACAACCGGATCCAGGAAAACAACAGATTTTTTAGGCACCAAAAGGGTGACACCAACAGTTAGGATCAGTCAATAGAAGCCAGAGCGAGTTGGAGAAAAAAGTCGTATCATTGAGCTGGGGGGTTAGCATAATCCATCTATTCACAGTCCATGAAATCCATTTGCGGTTTGAATGTTGGGTCCCCCAGCTGTTCTTAGACTTTAAACAATGATAACCTGTGCATGAGTCCATTTTAAATACTAAAGAACTGGCCTTGAACATGTGTAGAGTTTCTGTTAATTATCAATTTTTATCTTTTTTTTCAAATGTAAATTATTATAAAGAGCCCCAAATGTGGTGTAAGCCAGAACGTTTTCAATCACCTATTCAAAAATGCCTGCCTCATAGACCATAACAATGCCAGGGCTGTAGATTCTTTCTATAAACTTATCCTGACAATCCCTGATGATAAATGAAGCTGAGGATTTATCATTATGCAAATTTGTCTCGGTTAAAACAGAGACATTACGCTGTCTACCACCGTCCTCTCTATGCCAAGGGAAATTTCCCATGCACTCTTTAAATATCCCAGAAGGCCTGTGCTTTGCATGCAGCCGGTCACAATACAATACCACAGCCACATTGACATCTAGTTATATGGCTTTTCCCCGATCATGTGTGGCTGCACGGCCAACTGAAAGACTTTGGAGTTCGGCTTTTTGTCTTAACACAAAGTGACATTTCAGGGTGAGCTGAGTCCATTTTTTTATATTGCCTCGACATGGTCCAAAACAGGAAAACCATAGCGGCTTGCTTTTAAACTTCTATTCTTCTCACTATAATGTACTTGTGGTTTTGCCACTTGAGGAATAAACATTGGGAGATTCATGAGAAGCGCTGTGGGAAAATCTAGCTACTGTTTAAGAGCTGCGTGTATTTTTGCCCTGTAGGTTTTGTATCATGGCCTTTTTATTGAGGTTCCTATCCTATCAGCAGTTTAAATTCAATACAAGGTGATTAATACATATCCAATCAATGCGATACATTTCAAAAGTTTTTAGCCATTGTTTGTATTTAATTGATTATATATAGATTATTTTTTCTTCTGATTGCAGAGTATGGGCCTCTGACAAATATCAATCAATTTTCTTCGGCTTTATCCGTAGCAGAATCCAGGTGCAGCAGTGTAAGCAAAGACCCGCAGACTAGCCTTTCCTCAGCTCATCAGGGGGGGTCCTAAGGCGTTCCCAGGCCAACTGAGCGACACAGTCCCTTCAACATGTCCTGGGTCTTCCCCTGACCTCCTCCGGAACAAATGCCCGAGCCACCTCACCAGGCTTCTATTTAGAAGAAGAAGCAGCGGCTCTACTAACCTAAATCAATGCTAATAACTAGGGCTGTCCAAAATAGCGCGTTATTAACGCGTTAACGCAAATCAATATTAACGCCGTCATTTTTTTTATCGCGCAATAAAAAAAAAAAAAAAAAAAAAATTTTTTTTTTGTTTTTTTGTTTTTTTTTTTTTTACTTTTTATTGCAGACAAACACATAGAAACAAAGAAAAGGACTAGTTCAGATACATTGTAGACAGAGATTACAAACAATATGTAGTTGGAGATACAGGGGGCCAAGAAGAAACCCAGAAGGGCACATAGGAGGGGAGGGGGGGGGGGGGGGGGGGGGGGGGGGGGGACATGAAGTGGGAGATGGGGGGAGGGGTTAATAAAAAAGGCAATACAAGCAAACAGTATACAGTCATAGATATACCGAAGGTAAACAGAGAAACAGCATAGAGCAGTGTCTCCCAAAGTGGGGTCCGCGGCCCCCTGGTGGGCAGGGTACTGCAGGGGGGCCGCGGGAGGTCATAAAAAAAATAAAAAAATAATATAATTATTTAATGTTAAATTTATAATGTTTTGTTTGTAATATTAAAATATTTGTGTTCATTATTTGACTTGAATAAGCCACTGTAATCATTTTTGTATTACAATGTTTGTAGCAGAGGCTATTTCCCCAAAATAAAATAACCAGAAGAGCCTATTCTTAATGTTGTCTTCTTGGTTATTATTTTGGGGGGCCACGCAGACCCATCAGATTTTTAAGGGGGCCTCGGTGTTACTGAGTTTGGGAATGGCTGGCATAGAGTATTTACATGAACAAATTTACAAAATATTTACAGATTGTTTATCATCATCATAATGACACCATGATGTTTCTATACAGTCTATGGTCTATACCCACACATACACACACACACCCACACACACACATTGAAGGGGCTTTTTGTTACCAATTATTTATTTTGTCATCCATTTATTGATGATTTTGCATCAAATGTTAGTGTGTAATATAACACTACACATTGTTTTCAATAAAAAAAGCAATTGCACACAGCACGCAAATGTGTGACTAATTTGCGATTAATCGCGAGTTAACTATGAAATTCATGCGATTAATCGCGATTAAATATTTTAATCGTTGGACAGCACTACTAATAACACAAATATCCATCTAAAATGTATAGATAAATATTTACTACTTTAGTTCTTGGTTTTTTTTAGCACACACACTCCAGTTTGTACCTGTTCTGCTCGATCAGCTGCTTGAGCGTCTGCCGGTTGGTGAGCATCACGTCGGCGTCGATGCTGAGGTAGTGGTCGCAGGTGGAGTCTTGTCGGCACAGATCCCTGCAGAGAGACGAGCCATCACTCAATGCAAAGCCGTTACACTCAATGGAGCGCTTTAAATAATGATTGTCTCAAATTCATCAGCTCCTAAATATAAGATGTCAGGGGGAATTGCAGAGCGGCAGGCTATCTTTAAGTCTGGAGTGATTTGGCAAAGATTAGAGGCTGCTAATAAACCGTCATTATAGGTCGGGCAGGACTTTTACTCGCTCTTGATCGGATCTGCGTAATGAGGGCCCACATGTTGAATTATGGCGAGACAGCGGATACTTAAGAAACGAAAGGGTGAAGTTCTGAGCAGCACCTGGGAGCATGCATTCTGCCAACGCAGCAGGTGGCGCTGTGGTAGTGATGTCATACTTATTGTTGATCCAATGAGTATATCAAAAGCAAGTTTTTTTTAAAGAATTTTGTAAAGATTTTTTTTTTTAAGAATAAAAAAATCCTGCTATTGCCACTTTTTTATTGTACATAATACATCCTGCACATACTATGTTTTTAACCTTTAACATGTTTGCACACTTTTGTCTTTTGCACAACCTGAGTGATTCTATCCATGCCAAATGTGACATGTACATTTCTCCAAAGTGAGATCAATAAAGTCTATCTCATTTTATCTCATCTTAAAATCACATAGTTTATTTGTTGCAAATCAATACAAATAACACCTCATAATAAAATGTCTGTTTTCATGTGTTTTATGGTCTGTGCAGTCCAAAACAACAGCTGTGATTCAAAAACAGATCACCATTTTACTAGGTCATTTAAGCAATATTTGTATGACTTTTAATGTTGTTTTTGCTAAATTTCTCTCTCTGAATTAGCATTGACACAAGTCAATGGTAATGATCTTCCTTCCCGAGCTCTCGAGCCAACAATAACATTATTATGAGTGGACTTATTGTTACACCATTAAAGCCATAAATCATTGCAGCTGTAAAAATGTCCATGTTTCTTCATTGTATATTTTCTCTGTATTGTATATTGTTGAAACATTTACTTTCCACATGTTCTTTTATGCAAGTTACTCCTACAATATGACGTACATGCCCATATTCCTGGCTTCTCCCTGGCTCAGATTCTCTTCCGGTCCCACCACTTTGAAACTGCTGAAGACGTTCCGGTTTGCCTCCCAGAACCTTTGGATGTGCTTCTCGTGATAGACCTCCTAAAAACAAAAACATATTTTTATGGATTAGAAGTGTTTAGTGGACCACGCTGGAGCTGGAGCTGTGCCCATGTATCCACACTTACATTATTGTGAACAAAAAGTCGTATTTTGTCCCTGGGGTAATCCATGTTGAGGAGCCGATGGAAGAATTCTGTGAGGAAGGGAGTGGGCTGTTCGATGAAGACCCCGACCAGCACCGTGGGTAGTTCCTGTTTGGATTATGGGAACAAATTAGGAGAGAGTCGAACTTTGGCTCAGTCTCTACACACGTGTTTGTAATGAATCAGCTGCCTGACGTGTAACATAAGCAACCATGCACTCAATGGTACAGATGTCTCCAGTGGTTACATACTTTAGATTAGGATCTGTTCCAGTTCTCCTGATTAAGACGATTTTGGGAAAAAAACTACAGTCCTCTACAACAGCACATAGGACTAGCTTGTCACCTTTAAGAGGATTTAAGGCAGGATATTTTGGTATTCATACAGAAAACACATGCAAGTGGTCTCATACATAGACTGTATATTGGGAGTGGACTGACAGAGTTCTGACCTCACCCTCAGTGTTTGCCTTAATGCAGAAGAGACTGAGAAGAGCTATAGCTCGATCAGGCTATTTGAGCGTGAATGTGTAACTGCCGAGTTACCAAGCGCCAATCAATAATATAAACACTAGGCTCGAGTGAAGAAAGTAAGATTTCCCAGTGATAAAAGTGTCAAATACAAACACAAGACTTTTTTTAATCAAAGGATAAAACATTATGGTGCTTTGTGCATATCTTATCCGCATCAGACAGTTGAATGCACTCAAACAGAAGTACTAATCTTAAGCATTTATTGACAAATCTTTGGCAATTTTTGTAGTGCAAAAAACACTTTAAAATGGCGGTCTTTCGGATTGTATAGATCAGGAGCAAAAAAAGATATCTCAATTTTGAAGAAATGTCAACAAAGTTGTATTCCTCTAGATACAATCTTCAACATATTTTGTTATTGGCTGTACTGTACATTTGAAATACTTTGCCTAAGAAGAGGTGCACAAAAGTAGGCTTTTCAAAAAATGACAAGTGAAAGTGCAAAATGTAAGCATTTCAAAATATTATCTAAAGGCACTTATCTGTTTAGAGCTTCACTTGTTAATTTGTGATTAATGTTGCAACCCTAGTTTGTTAGAAGCCCTTCCTTGATAGAGTAGTCTGTTATATCGTGCAAATACATGGGCATGTATATGAGGCATTATCTTTTTTATTCTTCAAGTAAATCATATATAAATACATGAACTTGATTTGGCAACCAGAACCACATCCCATGCATTATCTCTACATCTAGCAAACGCCACAGCTGGCTTCTCTCAGACATGCCCAGGACCAGAGGTAAAGACTTTGCAGTGATACAAATTGCTTGACAAACAACAGGTGATGTCTTTGTGTTTGAATGACCAGCATTTCTCCAAACATACTTCTACTGAGCTGTTTTACTTCACAGATCCTGCAGAATGTTTTTACAGCTGCAACGAGACAATGAATCTTATTATACACTAATGTAAGCAAAGACTTGAGGATTTCTTCGGCGCAATTCCTTTTCCGATATGATTTTATAAACAAGTTCAAGATGTGGGCAAAGGACACCGGCCGGCAGAAGCTCTATACAGTTACAGTATCTAACAATTGAATGAAACGACAGAAGGCAGAAAGAGAGCGATTCAGACTGTAATGGACACTGGAGTGGACAGACTGCAGTATTTTTCCCATGACTCTGTGCTCCAGCCCACACAGATCTGTCTCGAAAGTGATGACCAGTTCACAGAGAGGATTTGGACTCGGGATATAAAACAGCCCAGCACACAACACTCTCATTTGCAAGTTTCACGACAACTGCTTTTGGCATCGGGGGGAAAGCCACCAGCCTGCACTCTGTCTAAAGCAGACAAAATGCATGACCGGGGTGAAAACGGTCAGAAAGTGCAGAAAGATACAGAATCTAAGGTTTGTAGAGAGAGAAAGTATTTGTGCAGTAATGAGCCAGGCGCACCCAGCCCGGTTTATTACTGCAAAAATACCTGCTTGCTGCCCTCCACAGTCAGAGAAGTCTTTGTGACAGACCTGAACCGATTCCAACTGTGGAGCAGTGAGGTCTGAAAACGCTATTCTGATGATGAGGGTAATGTTTAGAGCAGGCCGAAAATTGTATGATATGGTTTGTTATGATATTTATTATATTATTTTGTACAATAAACAATAGCCCAGAGGAGAGATGCATTGTACCAGATTGTAGCAGCAGTGCTAATTTACACCTGTAGTTGCGGAGCAGTAAAACTTAATAATAATTTAAAAAAAGGAATGGGATACATGACCATACATTTAGCATTTAGCAATTTAATTAACCATACAATTCATAATAAAACCACGCAGCCTCCATTCTTCACTTTCTCTCTATACATACATTCCTATAATGAGCTCGCACTCTCTCTCTCTCTCATACACACACAAATACACACAAACACACAGAGACACACAAACACACACACACATGCACACATGGAAAGAAGAGGAAAGAATTAAGATGTCAGATTGAGACAACTTTTTGGAGTAAGCGTGTCTTGTGCCTCACTTGACAAGTTGTAGCCACAAAAAAAAAGAATCATTTCCTACAACCTGCCATTGGAGCTGCCTCTTTACTGCCAGCCTTAGCTCCACGGCCGAGACTATAGTTCCAGGCGTTGGGGACATAAATTCTCAGCCTGACCACTCAAAGTCGCTGCTGTGGACAGAATTCATGTGCAGAGGCCGCTAAAAAGCATCCTCGTGCACAGTGACACGCCTTTAACTGAAGCCTTCTGAAAAGCCCTGAGCCATATACTGCACCGCTGCACTGCCCTGGCCTTTCCCTGGCACACGGACGCTGAGAACGGACTGTTATACGACCAATGGGCACACACACTGTTCTCACATTAAGTCCTGCCATAATGACAATAGGCTAAAACAGTTACAATAGGACTGGGTATATATATATATTGATTGTTTTTTGTTTATTTTTTAAAACATATATAAATACATTTGTCGTGTCGGCTAACACATGTTAACAGCCTTGTTTACAGTCACGGGGGAATGAGGCTGGAGCCAAATGTTCACAAGCAGTCCCCATTGTTGGTCCTGGTTTAATCCTGGTTTAGTCCTGGTTTAGCTCCCGTTTTGGCTGTTTTCGAGTGTCTTGTGTCCCCGTGACGTCTCCGGAAAGTTAATCTCTTGCTTTTGCCAAATGCATCGAGTCTCTGTACCCACCATAGACAGTATATATCATAACGGACAGAGTCACGCCAATCTCCGCCGTTCTAACTAATGGGCCAAAAAATGTGCTCTACTGGAGCTATCCAAAATGGCCGCGAGTGGTCCCGCCCACAAGAAAATTGAGAAAAAACACATCTGCGCATGCGTCAGCTAGCGAGAGCTCCATTCATTTGAACGAGAGACTTCAAAAATTCACAGCAAGTAAACTAGAGTGGACCAAAAAAATCCACCCCCCTCAGCATTGACACACATGTGGAACGGAGCTTTGGACCATGAGCCAACTTTTGGACCATCCTGTAAAGACGTTTTCGAGAGGTCTGCCAACGCTATATGTTAGCATTGGCTAATTCTTCTTCTGGGTCCACCCCCGTCGGCCCGGGGTGGTATTGCAGCATGTCAGTGCACATCATTTTGGCCACTTTTGAGCCGGGACCCGCCCCCACTGGTACCCACTGCCTCTCCCGCGCCGCACATGCTGTTCCTTGCTCGGACATGCATAACTATTGACACGGCACTGAAACACGATCTTTAGATCCATGGCTATTATAATAGATCCATGATCCATGGACGCTACACATGATGCTGTTGTTGTTTTTGCATTTCACAGAAAGTTTTGCGGTTTTATTATTATTATATTATCCCCCAGAATGCCGCGCGCTTCTGACTCGGCTTTACTTCCAGTGTTTTCTTCCTGTTTTTTCGAACAGAGTGAAGTTAAACCATCGAGAGTTCTATCGACCCCGTTTTCTATTGATATCGAACTCGCAATATATATCGTTATCGTTTTATCGCCCAGCCCTAGTTTAGGTTTTTTATCCGTATCTTAATAATAATAATAATAATAATAATAATAATAATAATAATAATAATAATAATAATAATAATAATAATAATAATGCATATGGTTTTCGTAGCGCTTTTCAGGACACTCAAAGACGCTTCACATGTCTTCATTCTTTCACTCCATACACAGTGGTACTAAAATTCTACTATAGCCACAGCTGCCCTGGGGCACACTGACAGAATCAAGGCAGCCAGAATGTACCTTAGACCACCAGCCAGCCATTCTCACACACCATTATACAGCTGCTCCACTGTATCACCTGGTGTTCCCAGAGGTCTCCCATCGCAGTACTAACCAGGCCCTGCCCTGCACAGCTTCAGAGATCTAACAGGATCTGACTGCATGCAGGTATGGCCACAAATGATCAGAATGTTTTTTGTCACTTACTCTTAACTGTGTCAGATCCACAATGTCCTCATCACAGTTGCCGCAGCCGTGTTCATAGTTCCAGGCGTTGGGGACGTAGTTTCCCAAGTAGTTCAAATACATCTGGGAGGAAAAGAGAAAAAGTCTGAACTGTTTGAGCTGCAATCACGAGTGAAAAAACGTCGAGAGCACATTTCACATGATGTGTTTTGGTTTTCACTACAGTTTCAAAGGGAAGTTAAAGCAGGTGCTAAAACAACAGCCCTGACGCTCAGACGAGAAATGCCCATGTTTTCTGACCCGGGCCCTGATGTGCGTATGAGTGTGTGTATGTGTGTGTGTGCAATCATGTGTGTGTTTGTGTATGCATTCATGTGTGTGTGTGTGTGTGTGTGTGTGTGTGTGTGTGTGTGGTACGATAACATCTGGAGCAAGTACCAGGTGTGTTTATCCACTAGCAGCACTTCAGCTTCTGCTTCTGAGACACACTCTGTTACTACACACACAACATATTCCTGATCAAACCAATCAGAGGGATCCACTAAATCCACAATACCACTATGTCAAACTCAGGTCTGAGAGCCAAATCGGGCCCACAATACCTTTTTTACTGGTCCCTGGAATGATTTTCAATTATCAATATTACATTCACTTGAAGCACTTGATGGAAATGGGCTACTATGGCATGTTATACTTGATTTTAAATGAACTGTAAGGTCGGCAAAACAACCATATCTAGTTCTAAATCTTTTCTAAAATGTTAGTTAACATGTAATTAGAAGTTAAGCTAGGACAAAAATGTAATCAGTCTTCAAATACATCTCTTTGTCTCATTGTGGCTGAATCTAAACCTACCAGAAAATAATACACAAACTTGTTTCAAACCATACTTTTGACCCCAACCAGATCTTATGTTCTTCAATTTGGGCCGCGACCAAAACAAGTCATTTTTGGTTGAGATAGACCCACAACAATAATCCATGTTCATATTCACATTTAGTTTAATTAAAAGCACATCACAGCCAGCTGGGTGGACTCATCTAAGAACTAATATGTGACCTTAAAAATCCTTTTATCTGCTTCTGGGTTTTATTGCTCAGACTAATCCTGACGGTGAAATTAGACATTCTTTTGGCTGGACCCTGTCTGTAAATGATGACTTGGCCAGAATTCTTGGCACCAGTATCTTCTAAGCGCTTTACAAACTAGTATTTTCTGTTTGCACTTAATCCATCTACTTGCTATACTGTGTTCCTTGACGATCCGACCGGAAAATAAGTCCTGAGTGCGGATTCTAAAGTCTAACAGCCGGTTCGATCATTCACTCGGGGGCAAAGTGCGGAGAACGTGACAGACTGGACGGTAGAGAGGGTTATTTGTCACTTACTTTGGTGTTGCCGTTGCCATGGACGACCACTGGGAGAGAGTCATAGGCGGTGTTTCGGACTCGGACGCGGTCGGTGCCAAACTTCAGAAGCACTTCGTCTGCCAACAAGAACAATGAAAGATTAGAGAGGAAAGACTTGGAAGAAGAAAAGATGGACGAGGCATTCTTATTATCAACCTTGAGAATACAGGTGTGCTTGAAAATGTACACACCCAGGCTGAAACTGAATCCAATCCAATCTATTTGTAATTTTATAAAACACGTTTCCAAACATGACATTGAAATTTCCCCACTGAGGGACGAATGAAAGGTTTTATATAATATTTGTTGGCCACATATTGGATATATAAACCACTTTTTCTGATCGTTGTTAGTTGTTGCGTGAGGCCATATTTTTTTCTATATACAGTATTTTTAAATGATAGAAACTGCTACAATAATTTCTCAACCATTTCAAGTATTTTCTCCTCACTATCTTAGAGTGTTTTGTGATTGCAGATGATGAGGTTTTGCATCCTCTCTTATGGTAAAGCCTCAAGTTCTTGTAAATTCCTGGACTGCCTTGCATGAACTGAGCACTCCACAAACACATTGATTGACAATAAATATGCAGCAGGAGCTCAGTGGGTAGAGTGTGAAATGTTGGTGGTTGGATCGTCATTGGTTGAGCGGTCAGAGCGACTGACCCGCAGGTTGGCAGGTGTAAAACCATCCAGTGTGCCCTTGGGCAAGACACCTAACCCGCCCAGCCCCCAGTGTCAGCGTACACTGGTGTATGAATGTGTGTGTGAATGGGTAATTGGTTTCTCGATGTGAAGTGCTTTAAAAAAGGTTTAAAAAAAAGCTGTATAAATGTGATAAATGTGACAATTTAACATCTAAATGGCTTCACAGAACTACTAACGATGAGTTTTTTAAGAAGTGTTTCCGCTAATTTTTCATTATGTCCAGAATATGACCAAAACGATATAATCTTTGGCTGGGTGAGAACACATTTTCAAGCACAGCTGAATAATATTGGACTTTTTCTGTGGTGGAAAGCAGTCACACGTGCCAGTCTAATTTAAATTCAGTTATGGAAATGAATCTTGATGAAAAAGTCCAGAGAACACACTTGACACATGGCTTATTCTAAATTGTCAAATTAAATTGTGACTTAGTGGCGGGTTTAACGAGTTTTGCCATTACTCACCGACAGCGCCGTTCAAGTTCTGGAAAATCTGGCACTTGTGATCCAAGGTCATGTTGAGATTCATCTGCAGCGAGACACAATCCACTTTTTACCCATCATGCACTACACATGTAACCAGTATGTCAATAGAATTAGTCAACAATGGAGATTAGAGGGGTTCTTTTTCTGTTGAGTCATTTGAATGTCGCATTTAAAGCGGGATTACTACTTTCAAACTATACAAATATTCCGAGTGTATAAAAAAAAAAGAAGAAATTATGCAATAAAATGGACCTCCCTAAAGTTCCTCGCTGTCGAAATTGGTTCTGTCACTATTTTTTACACACATCTATTTTTAGCATCTGTTATGTCCAGCTTTTTCAGAGTGAAAAAGAGGGGACCACCCTCACTCAGCCAATCAACCCGAAGCATCAAATAGTGACTCACAGGGCTTTTTCTCAGATATAAGTTTACAAAAGATCAAATTATAATAATATAAAGGCATGTTATGGTCTAATTTAATTTTACTTGTATAAGTCTCTTTCTGTTGGAACAAGCAACACGCTTTATTTAAGAGGAACAAGAAGTTAGGAACCCTAGCTTTAACACTAGGACTCCCACAATTCTGAAACTACTAAAACTCCAAGAGAAGTCCTTTTGACAGGCCTCATTCAAATCAGTATTGAATGGGGCCAGTCCAGTCAGTATTCTACAAGTTTATGAAGTTTATTATCTTTACTCACTAGAGCTAAAACTGGTGAGTTAAAGGAAGAACTTACATTTAAAAAATAAAATAAAATTTCATCAAATGTATGTCATATAAACAAACTACATAAAGACACAGATAAAGTTACACATTTATGAAGACGAACAATGTACACAAGATGAGTAGATATACGTGAAACGACGTCAAATTGACTGCTCTGGTAGTTCTAGTGTTAAAGCTTGGTTAGTTCATTTTCAAGCTACAAAAGACAAAGTATTCAAAAAATCAGATATTAAAAGCCTCAGTCTGTATATTAAAGTTGAAAAAGATTGTTGTTTTTTTTAAGAATCAAATTAAATAAACTTCTACTACTACTTTTAGAAGAAGAAGGTCCTTTAATCGTCCCACAGTGGGGAAATTTTGGTTCGATGCATACATGTACACATCAAGGCAAGCAGCAAAAATCACTTCCACACTCCTTATAGGCAAAGTGGGTTAAGGGTCTTGGCCAAGGACACAACAACAGCAGACATCGGTGGAGAAGGTCTCATGGTGGGCTTGAACCCACGACCTTCAGGCTCAAAGGCAATGCTCTACCAACTGAGCCACTGTCGCAAATACATTTTGTCGTGAGTCTTACCCGTTGCAGTGGGTCCAAGTATATCTTTGTGTAGAAAAGCTGGTCATCATCGTTGTCATGGAGATCCCACTGCGACACGATTCTGCTAATGTACGGAGCATACCCAATGATACCTGCGGATAAAATCGTGTCAAATGCATTTCCAGCTGTAAAGCGTCTTGTAAACTTTTACGGGCTCCACTGGGCTGCAGAGGCTCAGGCTGATTACGTGAGCTGGCTCCGGTCTACCGTGAAAAAAGTGTGATAATTGGCATCTCTCACTTCTGTAAACACCAGTGGGATTAGAAAGTTACTTTCAGCTGCTTGGAGATAGACAGTGAGGAGTTATGGGCAATAAACGTTGTGAACTAAAGATCATGAATTTTTGTGGACGCTACTTAGGAAATGGCAAAGACTTTCAAACAAACGATGGATTAAAGGCAAAAAAATACCATACCATTTTATAGTAATATATTTTGGAATTTGTCAGTGGAACAAGTATCTTTCATTATGTTGTCAGGCAGCAGTAAGATTTTATCTTTCCAAATCATCCTTTTCATAATTTAGAGAAACATAAAAATTCATTTTGAGAAAAAAAATATAACATATGTTTTGCTTTTTACTTATTCATCCTTGAAAGAAAAACAGGTATAAAATAGGGCCAACCTATTCAAAAACCTTTTCTTCAAATGTGTGGGGGTTGTGTAAAGAGGTAATCGCTCTATATCTACCCTTTTTCAAATGAAAGTTGTTTTTAGTTAAAGTTTCACTCACTTTTCAGTCAGTGACTTTTCTATGCAAGAGAGTGAAATTTGAAAACAGTTAGACCCGCCTCCTGATTGGTCCAAATGAATCCAAGGCTCTTTGTCATTGGTTTAAATATTCTCCTCCAGCAAATTGTAGTGTTCATAGTTGTGTCAAAGTGATGGACTCATTTAAATGTATTATTGTTGAAAAATACTTACTGTACACAAGAGTACAGTATCCCATGGTCAGAAATATACAATATTTCAAAAAATGTTTAAGTGGCTGACATCACCCAACTTGGTCCCCTTCCCTTTATGACCGCCATGTTACTGCCACTTTATGTTACTGCCACTTTATGTAACTGTTATTCTTTTATATTTTATTTCTATATGAATGGATCTCAATCAATCTCAATCTCTATCAATTTGTACTATTATAAGAGCCAAATCAATTTCCCAGTTAGTAAATTCATGTTACTTAGAATAGCAATAAAAATAATTCTGATTTTGTTTCCATAATTCAACATTCACAATATTGGCAAATCGTAACATTAGCCAGAAATTCTGCAATCCCATATTTCTTTACAATCCTGCAGCCCTTAACTTCTGCCTAAAGCGTTTGTAACTCTCTTGAAATCCACCGCTGTGAGTTCTCATGGCGCGGTCTGCTCCGGTTTCCCGTCTTCCCTCTTCCTCCCGACCGCAGAGGCTGATTGCAGGGTTCGACCGTGTTGTTGGTGCGCGCTCTTTGGATCCCATAGTTTTGAAGCGAGCCCCAGACACGGTAAACAAGTCCGTGGATAGACATGACATAATGCGTTTGGCAGCGGCGGCGAGTGCTTAAAGAGCATCGTGACTTTTACGCTTTATCGGCAGCAGCCTCCCACAAAATAGGAGCTTTTATATCAACACCGCGTCCTGTTGTTGTTAATCCGTCAACTGAGAGTTAAAAGGGGGAAAAGAGCTGGCTTCAGAAGAGTTGTGTCATTCTAAATACAAGGGTTTGCAAACAAAAGGCATCCGTAACAAAAATAACTGTCAATCAATAAGAAAAGGAGGAGAATGACCCAGAGACACAGACCACTGCAAGGAAATGGCTAGTTATAACAATACAATTCAAACTGTGATGTGTGTTTGATGGAATGTGACGTAAAGCTGGGTTACCTACATTTGAAACCACAAAAAGTCCATCCATCCATCCTCTTCCCCTTAATCCATTTCTGGGTCAGGGGGTGGCAGTCAGAGCTGCACCCAGTACACAGAGCACCAGCCCCCCACTCGCTCTACGTCACCCAGCAGGTGGTGAGTCCACAGAAGCCTTGATTATTCAGCAGGGGCTTCAGGCAAAGTGGGGTTAAGTCATCAGTGGGAGTTGTGAAGTAGGTCTTATGGTGGGCTCGAACCCAAGACCTTCAGACTCTAAGGCCAATGCTCTAATACAACGGTATGTAACTGTTTTTATAATCCGTAATTCTATGAAATTGTATGTGACTGTTTTTATAATCTGTAATTGTGTGTAACTATTGTCCAGGACTCCCTTGAAAAATAGGTTCTTAATCTCAATGGGACTTTACTGGTGAAATAAAGGTTTAATTAATAAAAGGAGAAATGCATATATTTTTGGCCTCCGTCATATCTGAATCAACTTTTTCAGAAATAAAAAAAAATATATTGGTCCACTCTTTCTGCGAACCAGTCAGCTCTCAGCTCAAAGTGTCAAACAGTGACTCACAGGGCTCTGCAAAATATATATAGATGATCTGTTTTCTTATAAAATGAAGGCAGAATTGTACTTATACAATACTCTCATAAACAATAATTGTAATCAAGACATTCAAAAGTTAGGTCCCCCAGCTTTAGCAAATGCTTTAAAAGGTCAACGTTTTTGTTTGGATATTCTCTGCCGCTCGGTCGTGCCCTGAGATGCCCTTTCTCACCCAGAGCACCGAGCTCCAATAAACCGGATCCCATTGGTCACTTGGGCGGTAGCTGCATAAACACAAACAAAACCTACAATTTGATACAGAATGAGGGCCACGCCAAGGGCCAAGACAAATCCACATGTCAGGCTGATGACAATGAGCGCTGGAGCGGCCTCTAATCAGACTGAGAGCGTTCCGCTGCTCAGTGGGAGGTCAAACACTGACCAAACACTGACCAAACCAACTGATGACCACAAGGAGAAGCACTCAGTCACGTCTTCACTGCAAAGATCAACGGCTCGTGCTATTTGGAGCAGAATAAAAGACTTATTCTACAGTCTGACAACGGACATCAGTCAGTCTGAGCTCATGTCCCAATTTACTCACTATGCAAACACGCATACACGCAAGCATACACACACACACATACAAGCAAACTCACACACACACACACACACACATACAAGCAAACTCACACACACACACACGTAGATACACATACTCGTACATGCATGCACATACACACATACACACACACATAGTACACACATGCATGTACACACACACACACACAAACCTACCCATACTCAGACACACACAAATACGCACACGCACAAACCAACGCGTACATGTACTCAGAGACACATACGCACACACACGTACACACGCACACACATGTAGATACACCTACACGCATGCACATACACACACATACTGTACACATATGTAGTACACGCATATATGCATGTACACACACACACACACAAACCTACCCATACTCAGACACATAAATATACAGACACACGCACAAACCAACACATACATGTACTCAGAGACACATACGCACACACGTACAAACACACGCACACGCACACACACACAAGAAAGGCAAGTTTAGGACAGCACAGCACACACACAAACACACACAGAGAAAACAACACACATACATTTTTCTCCATTCTAATTCATCAAAAAACAAAGAAAAAGCAGACAGACTTTCACCCAGTTCATTAATCAGACAGAAATACAAGACCTCTGCTCCAACCACATGTTTGTACAAAGCACTGGCCTCGGAGCTCTCGGTTAAAAAGACCCAAGCTGATCATTCACTGTTAGAAATGACTTACTTTCAAGCATCGTTACTTTTCAACAGCCCAAACTTAGTCAAAAGGCAGAAGAATGCTTAGTGTGTGTTCATGAGGCTGCGTTTGGGATCGTGTCCAAAAACAGCTCTTTCTTCTGGACAGGAAATGCCTGCTATAGTTTGCATACTGAAGAATATACAAGGATTCTGTCTGCAGAGGTTTTTTCAGTGTAAGACCAACTAGACATTATTGTACGTGTGTGTAACTTTTGCTGCATCTTGTCCAGGACCCTTTTGAAAAAATAGGTTCTTAATCTCAATGGGACTGTCCTGGTTTAAAGTAGACATGTAAGATTTTCATGTCAAGTCATCATTAAACGGCCCTAATATTTCAAAAGGCATAGATAAATCATGCTCTTTTTGAATAACAGTAGTTCAGAGATATTGGAATTTCAAAATTAGTTTCACAGCCCCTAAATCTTGTTACTGTTTTCAGTGTGATGTCCCGCTCTCCACCGTTTCACCAATCAGAAAGTCTGCAGGTCCAGGCGCCAGAACTCACAGTGTGGCCAATGTGGCCGCAGAACTAAAAACAGTCTTGTCATGATTCTCAAATTATTAATGACAAAACAAGAACTCAAACGAGGATTTCTATTGGGGCATTTGTGAAAAAAAAGTGTTGGTTATAGATTTGTTGTTGACAAAACTCTTGTCTATTCAACTATTATGTCTGCATATCTGGAAACCTGAGTCAGGGAGAGTGCAGTGCCGCTTTTGGCCAGATTTTTACATATTGCTCCTTTAAATCAAAAAATAAAATGTTGTAATTCAATGTAAAATGAAAGGAGTCGTCAGTGTCTTATCTCCAAAGTGGTCTCCCTGAAGTCCACAGGGGAAGGTCTGTGTCTCCTCATTCTGACAGCTCACAGAGGAATGTGCAAACACACCACGGTTAGATACTATACACAAATACTTTACACAAATACAATCGCCTCAAACTGAACTCCAGACAATATCTCCAGAGCTACTGTACACCTGCTCAGACCTGCCGAAAATAGTTTGTACAGTAACGTCATTTACAGTAACTTATAGATGAGGCAGCACAGGTTTGGCACCAGCTAAGAGCTATATTTCTAACGTCAATTTGAAAAGATGTAAAGCAATTTCTTCATACACATGGCTTTTTTTTTTTCTAACCTATAAGTACAAACATTATTATAGTATACTAATAAAAGTCACATGTTATTGTCCCCTGTAGGGAAATATGTCCTGAGCATCAGACTCATCCTGAAAGCCAAAGCTGGAGGACATGTAGCGTACATGGTGTAGTGGTAGGAGAAACCGGAGCACCTGAAGGAAACTGTCAAAAACGACATGCAGAAAAAATCATGAAAAATATCAGATGTGGAATGAAAAAAAGGGACCATAGATACTTATTCCACTGACAGATCTTCCAAATTATTTATTATTTTCAACTTGAACAATTGCAATTTTTGTGAATTGCTGATTGTGAACACAAAAACCATGTGTGAAACAATAATGGTGCAGCCAATCCAACACAAAGAAGGTCCTGGGCTCGATACCAGGATGAGGGCGAGTCACAATCATATCTGTATCCTTTCATCGCACTTAAATGTATAATGAAACTTAAAGAAATTCATTGAACTAACCTCACAAATGGAAGTCTGTATGAATCCTATTTCTGTGTTTTTTTAAAAGTGTCTATGTTGTTTCTCAGACTTAACCATAAACATCTTAGTGCCACGGGCAAAGAGCACTTCTCTAGGACATTCCACTTCTGACAGTTTTGTGCTCTTCATGTTAAAATGAGGCTTTTTTTTTACCATGTTTTTAATGTGTTGTGGGTTTAGACAAAACAGTACTTTACATTGTGGAACTTACCCCCGGAGTTCAGGTAGCGCTTTCCTCCCCTCACAGTCGGATACCTCTCTGCCAGTCGTTTGTCGGGCCAAATCAAACCCTCTGCTGCAAAAATCACTTTGTGGTTCGCCTGCTGGAACTTCTTGAGGATTTCTTCCGGCCCCCCAGCGAAGATGAGATCGTAACTGGATGGAAAAGGCCAAAATGCATCATGTTAACCTTATATATTTGGGGTCAAAACCGACATTGGTGATGCATGATGGGTCGTAAATCCCTGGAGACGACTGAGCTCTGTGTAAACTGTGTGCATTCTTTAGTATAGAGGAGAGCTGTCAGCACAAAGACTCGCAAACGGCTGTGAAAACTCCAGCTTTATACGACTGTCACAGCAATCCGTCTATGGTTTCCTGAATAATGGCACCCACAGAAAATATTTGGGCTTTTTCCGTGGGTGGCGCGGTGATTAGCGCTTGTGCTTTATCGCAAGAAGGCTCAGGATGCAATTCCATCTCCAGACAGGGCCTTTCTGTGTGGAGTTTGCATATTGTTTCCGTGTCTGTGCAGGTTTCCTCCAGGTGCTCCGGTTTTCCCTACCACTGAAAACATGTACATTAGGGTCCAGTATGTGCCTCCTGCAGACAACCTACTTTCCATGTGTGTGGAGAGTGTGGAGTGAGTGGAATGATACCAACAATTGCAAAGCGCTTTGTGACTCTGTGAAAGGCGCTATATAAAAAAAAAAAGCGTACTTATGTGAACAGTATATGACCATGTTTACCATCTTAACTTTTATCTTCATTAGGCACGATTTCATGGTCATTTTCATTATCTAGCATTAGAATTAGAAGCAAGTTTTGCACAATATGGATCACATTTTTGCATAGAGCAGATGTCCCCACATGCCCTAAGCCCAGAGGCCTTTTTTCCCGAAAAAGCTATAATCTACATTTACTAAGGTTTCATATAGTATTTAGCCAGATATGTGGCCAAACTTGGTACCAAATTACCTGGTGGACCTTGGGGATTGCTGTGGAAGTGAAATAAAGATGATAAATTGTATTGGTTGACAATAAAATGAGGTTGAAACAGACAATTCTAACTTCCGCCTAAAAAAAAAAACACATATTTTCCCTCAAAAAAGCTTTTTCCCTGTCTGTGGTGTAGCAAATAAGAACAAAAATTGACAGTTCCCGATATTTTGGACCAGTCCAGCAAAAAATGTGCCAAATAAACAAACCACTGCAGAGTTGTACATGGAATTGGAAAAAAAGTCCAGGCGGAATCCAACTGTGCCAAAATTGTGCCAAATGGCACAAAACATGTCTGTAGAGTCATCGAGATAAACTTTGGCACCCGGTTCCCTAGCAAGAAGCTCTACAACCTCCTCGCGTGTATAACGCTGTTTTGCCATCTTTTACTTTCGTCAAAATTCCGAGTACTGCTCTACCTGCCGTGCGTAAAGGGTTTGCGCACAGCCTCCTTCTGCCCCAACTATACGCATGTACACGCCTCCGCGGTACTTTGGCCAATCAGGGCATGTCATACCATTTTGGAAAGAAGACACCTTCGGCTATCAAAAACCATTGAAAACGTATTGATGGACAGCACCTGTGGCCAATCACAGGAAGAGATACACAGAGGTACGTGACATGACGCACGGGTGCAGCCTATCACAAAGGGCCTCTTACAGAAGGAGGAAGTAACAGATATCTGCCAGATCGCTAGAAAGCCTCGCTATGAGGTTGAATACAAGAAAAAACTGACTTTTATTCCTACGGAAATGACTTGTGATGAAAAAACAGCAAAAGTAAGTCAACTTTTACTCCAACGCTGATGTTTTACTGCTTTGTTTTCTGGCATTCGTCTGCGGCTTGGTCAGCGAGTTTTAGAGGTAGCGATACCAGCCTTATAGCATTGTGTTCAGTTCGGGGAGGGCTTTCTAATGGTGTGCTGACAGCAGGGCTACTTATTGTTTTGAGGGCGCTTGTGACGCCAAAGCAAACATTTGATTCGACATGTGCTTTATGACGATTTGTCAGATTGTGGTTTGTTGTTTGAACCTGGGTCTGTTGAACTGAAATTGAAGTGGATAATGTTGTAGCTGAGAGTTTTCCGAACACGAGGATGTGAAACATGTGATTGTCAGTTGTTGTATCTGTCAGCTACGGTCCGGACAAGCTGCAGCAAGGGGGGGCGGACCCCAAATGGGGGGGCAATCGGGCTGAAGAGGTTTGAAAACATGCATGACACGGATCCACTCGCTCTACGGCAGATTGACTTTGAATGAATGAATGTGTTTTGTGAAATAGGTTTAAAGTTGCCTGTATTATTGGACCTAATTTCCCCAAAGTATACAGTGCAGTACCAAATGGTTGATCAAAAGTGATAGATTTTGTTTGTCCTAAAAGAAAGAGTCTGGTAAATGTAAAATGTTGTGAACAAATGAGACCATAACAAGCTGTCTTTATATGATTAGAAACATTGTAAGAGAGAGCCAGGTGAGTCACTATTTGACACTTTGGGCCGAGAGCTGATTGGCTGAGTGAAGGTGGTTTATCTTTGTCACTTTTCAGCCTCCAAAAGCTGATCTAAAGAAGAAAAGAAGAAGCCAAAAATGACGTGTCAAATCTAGTGATGGAACCAAACGGTTATAGATCCAAGAACTGTGGATGGATTTCATTTCAGTCCATATTTTGTACAGTTTGAAAGTTAGGTACCCCAGCTTTAAAGCCCAACGATGACCCTCACTTTGGAAACCACTGGTATTTGAGAATAGAATAGTGTATTGTGCTCGAGGAAAATCCCTGCACACCCCCTACTCATCAACCCAATCCAGCACATTATGAACTGAGGCTACTCAGTGGAGGTCTTTGGACTTCCTGGTTCACAGACGTGGAACTTTGAGCCTGTGGAAAGCCCGGGGTGGGGGTGGGCTGATTGAAGGGAGCACTGTACACTCCACTGTATCCAGACATGCTGCACACATGTCCCGACTCATCCCATATCCATCATTGTCGCCGCGGCAACCCAAGACACCGCACGAGTCCACATCTCTGCCTGTCCTTTATTTTCAGAAGCCAAACAAATGCACGCTGCAATTCACTCCAATTGAACGTGTAACTACTGTTTTACTCCGAGGAGGAAGTGGGGCTCATGATGCACCATATTTCCGCGCAGTTGAAATGACTGAATTACAAATAACAAATGTTCAATTAAAGTTGCTATGATGAAAACGAGCGTAAACCTACTTGTTTGATAGGTGTGGTTCTTTTATAGAGGATTTGAAGCACATACAGTATATTACAGTGGCAAATCATTCTATGGTCTGGATATGTTTTCTAGCCTCTAGCGCTCTTTTGATTTGCTTTGCTTTGTGATTCTACCTGCTCTTTAAGAACGAGTGCGTGGCTTTGTGGCTTTCTCAAGAAGGCACGACTTTCAAAGCACTTATTATGACAATTAGTTTTACCTCTAATTCTTTCATCTTTTCTTTTCATCACAGCAGTAAAGTGTGGTTTGCAGCACTTTGGTGTCAACTATTCTGATCAAGCATCGGCATCATCAAAGTCAAAGCTTTTATGAGAACGCAGAAACTCTGCTTTCTAAATTGTTGGAGGTAAAACACAGAGTGTTTGGTGTTGTGTCTGGTTTTGAAGGTGTCACTAAAGATGAGACTGTACCTGTCTACAGAGAGAACCACCAGGTCCTCCTGTCCAGACAGCTCCTCCATGGCGGCCCGCAGAAGGCGCACTTTCTGACCTCCACCGATGGAGCGGCCGACATCACCTCCTTTCCACGTCTCCTCCATCCCCAGCACCTGACATGGAGAGAGAGAGGCAGGATGGAAACCAGAGGCAACAAGGACTCATCATGAACTCTCATGACTCATCATTATACTATCAGAATCAAACAGATGGTCCTTAACTAATCAATAACTCATTATGATACATTATTATTCATTAATAACTGCTGACATCATTCATTAACCATGACTCATCATTACCAAAGTCAACTGGGCCAAAAAATTAAATAGAATAATAGTTCATGATGAGTCCTTTCTGCCTCTGTTTTCATTATGACTCTGAGCGGTTCATGTTCCTTGTGATTGAAGTACGTAAGTCATTAACTCGGCATGAACTCATCCTGAACTCAGCATGAACTCATCATGAACTCAGCATGAACTCATCATGAACTCATCGTCATTACTATGATGAATGAATGAATAAATTCACATTGAGTTATTTTAAAGCGTCTGTCCTGGCTTTAACTGTTGTTTTCCAGTCAGTGATGTGGGAGTTATAAACACTGAGAGGGACACTAATGAAATCTTACTTTGACATTGTAGTTGAAATACTTTGCCGACTGCATGAAGCGCTTGAAGCCGTCTGTCTCCTCAGTGGCCACTGTCAGAACCAGCAGCTTTTCTGGAAAAATATAAATACAAGAATAAATGAGAAAATCTCTTGCAAAGTTGACGCATCTTTTCAGTCAGCAAATTAAAGGGAAGCACAGATCCTAAAAGTCCAGTGCATCATCTCTTTATTTAGTTTGAGCTTCATTCGCTGAAAGTTCAGACATTCCTCAAAAGCAGCAGACGTGTGTCAGCAGTCCTGCACATCCACCAAAGTTTTAATTTGATTTAAAAACAGAAATGTATTTTTATCTAAGGATGAGGTGTATTTTCTTTCCTTTTGGGGCAAGTGATCCCCCACATAATTTGAGGACATTTCCAGTGGCCCTGAGTGCTGAAGTTTGAGGTTAGGAAAGGGTTAGACCAAATACAAATTAACACTGTAACCTCCACAAGAGTTTAAGAGCGCCCTACTGCCTTTGGCAACTGTCTCCTTTTCTATTATTTCTGACAAACCACCTCAGCCACGACCAAGTATTTTAGAACAGTTCCATTTGGTGGCAGCGCTCCTCTGCAGACAGACACCAGTATTGTGAGGCGTTAATACGGCTTTATGGAACCACTTGAATAATATTTTCACCATGGAGCAATCTGCTGCTATTTAATAATCCACCCTCTGATCCGCTGAAGCCTAGTAAAATATTTATTGGACATTTGGAATTATAAAAACATGACTTAGTAGGAATTGAAGGCTCTATAAGGCCTTGCACCAGACTGAGACTTTTCTGCTTCTCTTCTGTTTTCTTATACATCATAAATAAGACTAAAAAGGAAGCAAAAACTCACAATGGGCATTTCAAGAAGCGCAATTTATTCTGTGTTAGAACATCTTACCTAACTTACTTGACACCTCTATGCTTTGACATGTTGTGGTGTAACTCACTGATAATTCTATTGTAGATCATAAACATGTATATAATTATAGAAGATTTGTTTTTCACAGACGTGCCTAAAGTCTAAAGTCTCCACAGATTTCATTGTTTTGCTCATACTTTGTAAATCTTCTTTTTGTTTGTTTTCCACTCATCGTTAGTGGTTGTGTGAAGCTCTTTATTGTCCTATAAAAATGTTTTCTAGTTTAAACTTTATAAAAATCATTGAGCCAATCAGGTGAGGTTTCAAATGTAATGCAGGCAAGCCGACCCACATATTTATAGGAACTGGAGGTGTTTTGCCGAGAAGAATGGACAACTTTACCATCAGAAATCATCAACAACTACTTTAAAAGACTGTCAGAGATGCTAAAGGGACAACACCATGGAGAACTGGGGGGTGGAGACTTCTAATCAGGGTCAGAAGAAATTTAGCGTTTTTGTAGCATTTTATAGCATATATTTTTGGCATTTTTTGCGTTTTTTAAACGTTTTTTTGCGTTATCATTCATAATTATTGTAATAATCCACATTTCTGCCTGGAACGAGTGAACTTTCAAGCACAACGGAACAAAATGTCCTTGTTGTTTTGCACAATTCCTCATGAAGCTCTTCTGCTGTGAGCGCAGTTTGAGTAAAAGAATAAATATATATCGAAGTAGACCGGTCTCCAGCCGCTGTATCAGGCCAATATTTAGTTTGGACTTAAATACCACACTCAATGCAAAAAAGCCTATACATCTGGTACAATATCCAACCCAGTTACCTTTAGCCCTCTTTCTGCAGACGTCACCCTCAAAAACACACAACTCCTGTTCTCTCACAGCTGTTTTGTAATCCCGCTCAGCTCTGTTGGCTTTTTTCAATCGCTTATTCAGACACCAGCTCACAAGCACGCCGTTTTTTGGACACAGTGACGGCGTCTGTCTCCAGACTCCCAGCGTTTAGTGCAGCCGCGGGAGAAGGGACGGGAGCCTATTCCGAGCACAGGTGTTCCTTGTGCTGGTCTCTGCTGAAGGGGGCGGGGGTGTCGAGGGTGTGGGGGGGGACATCTGGAAAACACATCCATTCGTGTGCAACAAGAGATTTTATAGCAGCGGTGCAAAATTGACATGCTTCCGAGGTCAGTATATGGCACAGAGGAGAAGGCGAGAGAGAGAGCAAGTCTGGGTCAGTGTGAGTGTAGCGGCCGCTGCTGTAGGTAGAGAATGTTAAGTTAAAATAATAGTTTACAAACAAATGAGCTCATGTGGTCGAACATCTGTCTGACAACTACTGAGGCTGAGGAAGTTGACCCCGGCTATGTCCTCATCAGAACTCATCACCTCCATGTCTTGCTACATCCGCCCCGTTTCCACCATCTCTCTTGGCGCTACTCTACATTCTCTGTTTTTTAGAACCTGCTCAGGACTTTTTCTATCCAGGCCAAGCTGGTAGTAAAGCAATGGTTACCAAGGAATGTCCACGGATACTGGTTTGCTGTGGGTAGGTTGCTAGGATACGGTACCGGATACTAAAGAGTAGAGTTGAGTAGGGCCAAGTATAGGAGAGACGAGGGAACCTGGGCAAAGTGTGGCTCGGGGGCCTCATGCTGCCCCAATCAGGTTTCTGAACTTTCTGAACACAAAGCAAAAAGAACAACCAAAAAACATATAATATCCTATAATAAATAATCAAAATTGAAACCGATACCAATAAATAGTAATTTGCTCAGAAAATCATCATTATATATAAATGTTAAACAAATAAATAAGCAAAAATAGAAATTTACACGCAAAGAAAATACTTTAAATATTTGTATTATCTAGCTGAAGTAGCTTTGTACTAAATTAAATCAAAAAGTAACCAGGCGAAATCGGCTCAAGCCCTCAGCAATAGGGCGATATCCCACACTGCACTGCAACACAGTAATTTCCCCACTGTGGGACGAATAATAATCATAATCCCTGGAAACAATCATTGCCCATCCCTCGGTTGGACCATAGATTGCATATAGGATTAAACATCAGGCAAGTGCACTTCTCATGGGAAAAGTAAGGCTCCCTTCCCCACATTAACTAGTTTTCACATGCATGTATTTTTGGCCTCTGTCACATCTTTTGATCTGCTTTCTCACACAGAAAAGTGAATGTAAATTAATATAATTTGTATTACGGACAATGAGTCAATCATCCACTTTTACTGCTGCTGCTGTTAGTGTGTGATGTGACAGAAAGTGAGCCACACGTTTGATGCGTTCCCAATAAATGTGTGCGGTGTCTCTATAAAATGGTAATTTAGCAGCAGTAGCTTTGTTGTTGTCTGTCATGACTACTGCACGCAGACTTTGTTTTCAAAAAGCATATTCCCAAAAAAGATCTGTATTGTCTGTAAAATCAGTCAAGCATTTCCTGTTGGAGAGAAACAGACGAAGAGGGTTGTCCACGGCTTCTGCCTTTGTGGCCACGCTCTGACCTTATCAAGAAGCCACAAGCATTTTTGATTTGATTTCTGTTTTGGTAAAGAAGTGAATGCAACTGAACCCGGAGAAATATGCATTTACTCAGAGCCTGGGGATTCAGACAAGCTCGCCCACAACCAGACTTTTTTTTTTTTTTTCTACACGGCTCATCTCTGTCATGAGAAGGTGCACTGTCTGGCATGACTTCAGGCAAAGATGTGTCTACGAAGAATTATGGTCTAACAAACCAAGCTAACCAAATGTGCACAGCTATTTTCAACTTGACTTCTACCAGGGTTCATCCAGTTCAAGCAGACGGATGATTTATACAAGTTCTAGCCCACAAAGTGTCATTAAGATTACTGAAAAGAGCACTTGAATAATCACACACTTTTTTTTTTTACTCTTGAGACGGCCCTCAACTGTATCACGGAGAAATATGTTGCGCATGTAGAAAAATATATACATATTTATTGTAATTTCAAGCAATAGAATCTATAACTTCTTCAAGAGGTCACACTTGGTTCTAAGTAAGTAAGTAAGTAAGCTTTATTTATATACCGCCTTTCACAGACCAGAGTCACAAAGCGGTTTACAATTGTTATTTTTTGGGCACTTGTCCTCTCACTCCACACAGAGATGGGAGTGGGGTCGCCGAACAGGGTTCAAAAAGTCCATGGGGTAAAGAGAAGCCAACAAACTGATTTCAAATGGCCTAAAGGCGACTTAGATGACTTAGAACAGCGTGTCCCAGTAAATTGGCTTACATTCATTACATTTTTAACTACGATTAAAGTTCTTTCACCTTTTCAAAACCTCAGAAAAACACTGCTTTAGGAAGTATGAAAAGCAATATTCAGGATGAAAGAACACAGCATTTTATGTGGAAGTTGGGGCCCTAAATTCCTGGTGTTTTTATTTTAATATAGTCTTTATAAATCCAGATATAAGCAACAAAGTTTGGCCAATCAGGTGCTTTAATTCTCTGGGGGAACTCCGGCTAGACTGGTAAAAGCTAGCTTACGATCATGAGCGAGCTACTTCAGCAAGATTTTGTTATTGTGATTATTTATGATTTCAATGCCTTGTATTTCCATTGCCCGATGTCTATGGGCCTTTTTGATCTTTCCACATACTGCAGCTTTCTTTCACCTCAGAGATTCAAGAAAAGCTGAGGATTAAACCTAAGTTGTTGAATGTAATGTTAATATACTGTAAATAAGATAAACATTGTCTTATTGGATCTCACAATGGCTTTAATGCTGTTTTATTAGTATGCTGTAATGGATTTGATCATGGTTTTTCATTGAGAATTGAGTGAGAATATGAAGACAGTGCAGAGAGTGAAAGCAGCCGCTCCCAGAGGAGAGCTGGCAGAGCGACGGACAGACAGCTGTGATTTGGAGCTAGAGTGTGGTGTTAGAGTAAACATGAGGCCTACATGTTCTCTTCTCAGCTCAGTACCAACAGCCACAGGAAGAATGTGGATCACAGTGTAGCGCCGCTCCGAGAAAGGCTCTGAACGCCCAGAGGTCCTCCCCCACTCCCTCTGCCACAGCCCTCTAGGTAAACTTTCACACTAACACGACTTCCAAGCTGCTAAAGTAATCATTTGAGGAACCAGAGGAGGGTCTGGGGAATTTACTCCAAACTTTAGGATACCATATTTCCTCTTTCTTCACTTCAGTGGGTTCAATCACC